TCGCAGGAGCCCAGTGGTTCTCAACACTGGACCTCAAGTCTGGATACCACCAGGTACCAATGGCGGAAGAGGACAAACCGAAAACGGCGTTCTCATGTGGCAGTGGGCTCTGGCAATTCCGCGTGATGCCGTTCGGCCTCTGCAATGCTCCTGCTACTTTTGAAAGGCTGATGGAAGCGGTACTAAGCGGGCTGCATTGGAATTCCTTGCTGGTTTATTTGGACGACGTTATTGTTTTCGGACAAACTTTCGAACAGGAACTTCAGCGCTTGGGGGAGGTGTTCGAAAGGTTTCGAGGAGCAAACCTGAAACTCAACCCCAAGAAATGCAACTTGTTTCAAAGGCAAGTGCAGTATCTCGGACATGTCGTGTCTGCAACTGGCATACACACGGACCCGGACAAGTGTGCATCGGTCAGGGACTGGCCGGTCCCAGAAGACAGGAAGCAACTTCGCAGTTTTCTGGGACTGTGCACTTATTACCGGCGATTCATCCGCCAATTTGCTACAATCGCTGCACCACTGCACAATCTAACGAAGGAGGGACATAAGTTCATGTGGGACACGAACTGTCAAGCGGCTTTCGAAATGTTAAAAGAGAAGCTGACTTCAAGCCCAGTTTTGGCTTATCCTGACCCTGCAAAGCCATATATTCTAGACACCGATGCGAGCAGTTGCGGCGTAGGTGGGGTGCTCTCGCAAGAGATCAATGGGGAAGAAAGAGTGATCGCCTTCTTTAGCCGGTCGCTAACTCGACCAGAGAGGAACTACTGCGTGACAAGAAAGGAATTGCTGGCGATGGTCGACGCCACCAGGCACTTTCATCATTACCTCTACGGAGCACATTTTGTGATTCGCACGGATCACGCAGCCCTTAGGTGGCTGAGGAGCATCAAGGATCCGGAAGGTCAGCTAGCCCGCTGGTTGACACGACTAGACCAGTACGACTTCACAGTTCAGTACCGACCTGGATCTGCACACACCAATGCAGACAGCATGAGCAGGCGCCCCTGCCAAGCTGAATGCAACTACTGCAGCAGGAAAGAGGTGGTTGAGCATGGGCGCTGTTTGATGGCTCAAACAGAAACCGGTTCTCCGCGCAGGGAGTCACAGGCCGTTGGGGTCACATGTGATCGGTCTGTGGAGCGTGCACCGAAGGATGCACCAGATGTTGAAGACATCTCGAAGGCGCAGCTGGAGGACAAGGATCTGGAACTTATTATAGCGGCTATCAAAAACGAAACTGGAAGACCTGCGTGGGAGAGGATGTCTGCGAGCAGCATAGAAGCCAAGCATTACTGGAGCCAGTGGGACATGTTGAGGGTGCATGGAGGGGTTCTCCAGCGCCGGTGGGAGTCGGTGGATGGATCCTCCGAGCGTTGGTTAACTGTGATCCCACAGAGCCTGCGCCCCTTGATGTTGGAAGAAACCCACGATGCCTTGACGGGTGGCCACTTCGGCATCAAGAAGACGCTGCAGCGTTTGAGACAGCGGTTTTACTGGGTAGGCATGCGTCAAGATGTCACAGAGTGGTGCAAGGCTTGTCAAATCTGCTGTGCAAAGAAAGGTCCCCAACGGAGGATCCAGGCACCATTGCAGCTCTACCAGGTGGGCGCCCCCATGGAACGGGTAGCCGTTGACATCACAGGCCCTCTACCCGTCACGGCGTCAGGCAACCGATACATCTTGGTGGCAATGGATTATTTCACGAAATGGCCGGAAGCGTACGCGATCCCAAACCAAGAGGCTACGACCGTGGCAAGGAAACTGGTCGATGAGTTCTTCGCGCGCTTCGGGATGCCGAATGAGCTTCACTCCGACCAAGGACGAAATTTCGAGAGTGCCGTCTTCAAGGAATGCTGCAGCCTGATGGGTGTCCGAAAAACGAGGACGACGGCCCTACATCCAGAATCGGACGGAATGGTTGAACGGTTTAACGCAACACTTGGACAGCAACTGGCTAAATTCTGCAGGGACAATCAAGCCAGTTGGGATGAAAAGCTCCCTTTGATGCTGATGGCCTATCGCTCAGCGGAGCATGAATCGACTGGATATACGCCAGCCAGACTGATGAGTGGCCGAGAACTCCGCCTTCCTATCGATGTGACCACCGGAGTACCTCCAGCCGACGCTGTAACCGATAACTTGCCTCAGTATGTAGAAGAGACGAGAAAAAGTCTTATCAACATACATCAGCATGTGCGAGAGAACTTGAAGATCGCGTCAGGATCCATGAAACTACAGCATGATGCCAAGGCCACACAGAAAGTTTTGGAGCCAGGGGACAAAGTGTGGCTCTACAACCCAAAGAGGAGGAAAGGCATGTGCCCGAAACTAGCCTCTGATTGGGAAGGACCTTTCATTATTGCCAACAGGCTGTCCGACGTCATTTATCGAATCAGAGGAGAAGGGCGATCTAAGCCAAAAATCGTGCACATCAACAGGCTCTGGAAAAGGCATGAGGACGCAAAGTTCACTTGGTCACGAGACCCCACCAGGGTAACGGAAGAGGCCCTCACAACGGAACACTCGACCGAAGACTCCACCTCCGGCACAGAAGCAGCGGCACAAACAGGATCCGGTGGTGATCCTGACCTGATGGGAATCACGGGTGGCCCCAAGAGTCCCTCTGTCCCTGTCAATGGACCTCCCCTGGTTGACACGATCACTCACGCGACAGGGCACCTCTTGGACAGACCCGCAGCCGGGGGAACCGGGGTAGGTGACGATTCGATTGCGACAATGGGCGACATCAGGACGAGAACGCAGACTGATAGGGCTACCAGAGTCCGCAGAGCACCGGCATGGCTTGCTGACTTTGTGCTCGACGTCTAAAGACGTTAAGATCTTGCTGACAGACATGCTGTGCCCTCGGCAATGATGACAGAACTCTCGAAATTGACATCTTGACCGGTTGTCGCCAGGCTCTCGGGGGATCCGAGACTGGAAGCCGCAAGATGGACGACGAAGCAGTGTTGTGGGACTCGGACTTGGAGGAGTTCCTCAGTCAAGCAGTGCAGCAGCTATCTTCACAAGCAGCACCTGAGGGGAGAACCCATCTGCTTCTAGGCGATTCGATCGCCAGAGATGCACCGGTGGGCGTCTCGCCTCCAGACCTTCTTCTTCGTCTCGAGAAGGGCGGACACAGCTGGGCACGACTGGCGATGGAAATTGACGGGGACATCGACTTGTGGTGCCGCGCGGCCAAAGGCTACGGTCGGCCATTGGGCCGAGCTGTAGTCTGGATGACGGGGAATGACATTTACCCACGGCACGGTACCCGCATCTCCGGAATGAACCTCGACGACCTCAAGAGGAACGCGACCGAAGTAGTTCGATCCCTGCGGAAAGTGACTGAGGAGGTGGTGATCTTGGGGCCGTTACCCAGATGGAAATTCGACACTAACAAGACCTGGACCCAGACGCCGGCGTTTCACGCTGAACGAAGCCTAAAGCACACTTTCTGTGACAGTGCCGGCGTAGGCTTCGAGAATTTGGGACGGACTCTGACTGTCACTCGTGGCAAATGCAAAGCGTTAGTGCCGTCGGTCAGCATCTACTTCGCATCCGACGGCATTCATCTATCCCACCGCGGATACGAAAAGGTGCTCGACAAACTGCCAAGCTGGCTTACGTGGGCATCACGTGAAGACGAGTGATAGGTGTAGTTATCTGCCTATAGGTTGCAGTGGGAAGTGCTTGCCTTTTTTGTTAATTGTTGATTTATTTTGCCCTTGTGGCTTTCGGTAAATGTTTTTTCCAAGCGGGAAAAAATATTGGAGGGGGGCAGTGTTATGTGGATTTGCATTGCTTGGGCCTGTGACGTCATTTGGCTTCCACCAATAGGCGCTCGGTTTACTTTTGTATGACCCATACGAGGTCACGCCAGGGCGGTGACCGGGACGGTCGGTCAGTTGGAGGATAGCTCTCGCCACGTAAGTACCTCGGGTTAGTGTTAGGGTCGTCTGCGCCAGGGGTTCTGGCGGGACGTCTCCCCTTCCCCCGCGAACAGTGTCATTCCGATATTCCCGGCTTGAAATCGTCTGCGCCAGGGGTTCTGGCGGGACGTACGTATCTCAACTGTGCAATATACCACAGTCAAACGTAACATCATATAATGTACACTAATATCTTATATTTCTTTTGTTGATATGATGACTGAAATTGAATACAACACCTCCATTTCATAGTTCAGAGAAGATCAACCAGGATGATGAAGGACCGGGACCAGGACAATCAACCTGAATACATGTCAAGTTCTCCGTCCTAAATAAGCAGAGAAATGAATTGTGCATGATGATACAGGTATACATCTTGATCTTTTAGGTCTCAGGGTACATCATCTAAGCACTTCCAATTTGTGAATACAGGAATTAAAGTCTGCAAGAAGAGCAAAAAATCATACATGTACTGCACTTTGATCTCAAACTTTGTAGGTTAGTTGAAAATTAAGCATGTTTTATTAAGTGAAGTAAGATTGGTAGTATGAAGATAACTTACATTTGGCAGCAGCACAGCAATTTTTCAGCCCATCCCTTACATTTCCAGGAAGCACTGTAAATTTGGGTTACCTTAAAACCAGGGGTAACATTGGCATACCGTGGTAACCTTGCCCCTAGGGGATAAAACCATTCAACATTCTGTTTTTACAAAGGCAGAGAGGCATCCTAGGTGTGTAATGTGGAGAGATTTTATCCCCTTGGGGCAAAGTTACCATGGTATGCCAATGTTACCCTGGGTTTTAAAGTAACCCCATTTTACGGCACTAGCGCTTCACACCTGTCAAGTGTGCTCGTACAGATTCGCAACCGCGTACAAACCCTTGCAGCTGGCACCATGAACCCCAATAAGAAAAAATATTGAGAGTACTGAATAAGCTAGTGGGCAGGGAACACTTTGAATGTAAAAAAACTTACAACTATCGTACTAGCATGGCAAAACACCATCTAAAACAGAACATAACGCAGTAAATACATTCACGACGCACAATTAAAAGTTTACCTGCGAAGACGCGGTGAGACACAGACAAGTTCCTCTGAACCGCGAATTGGAAATTACGAGAGAGTCCATTTTGCAATCTGCTGAAGCATGTTGGCGTGAAAGCACGTAGAGCGCAGACCGCACGGACGCCAACCGAGGCCATTTTTACGAAAGTAAACAAACGATCGCCCTCACGTTTTTTACCTTTAGTAAACCAAGGATGGTCCAAAACTAATAACAAAATCAAAAACTCATTAAACAATGACGTCATCATACCTAAGACAGTCATTGGTTTAAATTTGGGACCAATGAAAAAGGTAAAAACGAGGTAAAAATTTATTTATATTGCCTATTTATTCCGCACGCAACGTGCCTACGTTTCTAAACTGTCATCAAAACAAAATGCGAAAGTTTGATTTTTCACCCTGCATTGTGGTATTGTTGGATAAAGGTAGCTATTTTGTTTGGTCTCGTGACGTAGCATGTTGTAATTTTTCATAAGGTGGTCTGGTATAATTCAATATTGCAGCACCTTATAGTGGATTTGGCAGCAATGACGTAATTCTCACTTCAGTGGGTCCGGCATTTGGGAGTTCATATAGCTTATAAATAAAATTATTTATAGTTACCGTGATTAAAACGTCGTTGGACCCCCTCGGCCCTCGCTCGGCTCTACCCGGATTCCTTTCAGAGCTCCCGCGTCAGCTCCATGACCATGAGGCTTGAGAGTTGAGGCCTCATCGTCTGTACCGACTTTCGAGGTTCCAGACCACCTCGGAAGCAGGGGCGGATCCAGGGGGGGCATCTGGGGGCCGATGCCCCTAGCCTATCGAAAAATGCCGCCCCTCCGCCGCCGAAGGCGGCGGAGGGTGGATTTTTTCCATACGTGATGAAGTGCATTTTACGGAAATGACCCGCATTTCTTTGAAGCTCATTTCATAATAATCTCTGGTAGTAACTATCTGAATTTATATTTAACCCTCAGAGTATGTCGCTTCTCTCCCTGAAGTCAGAGTGCCGCCCCTTAATTCGAAGTACCACTACTTAAAGTCATATTGCTACCCTTTGAAGTAGTAGTGCCGCTCTCGGAAGTCCAAATGCCGCCCTCGGAAGTCATAGTGCCGCCCTCTGTACTCGTAGTGCCGCCCTCTGAAGTCATAGTGCCGCCCTCCGCAGTCTTCGTGAAGCTCCTTGAAGTCATTGCGCCGCCCTCTGAAATCAAAGCGCCGCTCTCTGAAGTCATAGTGCCACCCTCTGAAGTCATAGCGCCGCCCTCTGAAGTCATAGTGCCGCCCTCTGAAGTCATAGTGCCGCCCACTGAAGCATAGTGCTGCCCTCTGAAGTCATAGTGCCGCCCTCTGAAGTCATAGTGCCGCCCTCCGCAGTCTTCGTAAAGCTCCTTGAAGTCATTGCGACGCCCTCTGAAGTCATAGCGCCGCCCTCTGAAGTCATAGTGCCGCCCTCTGAAGTCATAGCGCCGCCCTCCAGTCTTCGTGAAGGTCCTTGAAGTCATTGCGCCGCCCTCTGAAGTCATAACGCCGCCCTCTGAAGTCATAGTGCCGCCCTCTGAATTCAAAGTGCCACCTCTGAAGTCATAGTGCCGCCCTCCGGTTGTCCCGAAGTGACGAGATATTTCCCACCCAGTCGGAGTAAATAAGGGCGCTTCAAATATTATCCAGCATAAAATTAGTTGTTGAACCCGGTGCCTGACAAATTTGCTGTTTCACTTTCTCATTTAGGCGCCAGTGTTTACACGGCCAATAGCCATTCGTCTAATACCTATAGTAGGGCAGGTCATCAAGTGGCGAATTGATATGTTGGAAAGGGGAGGAGGCCAAACATGGGAATTAACCCTCGCCCGCACATGGGGGGGGGGGGGGTGGTTGCCACCCCCCCCCCCGGTAGTCTTTCTGCCCTGCACTCAACATTTTTAGAGCTAGAAGGCTGATTTTTCGTATAGCTGCTCCTCTATCCTTTCTTGATGTCCACTGAAAATTTCAAGTTTCTGTGATTTTTGGTTTCGGAGATATGACCTTGTTTTTCAGGTCATGTCATGACCCAAATGGCCAATTCTCAACATCCTGCGCTGGCTATGGGCCTTGTGAGCTTTTGACACCTTGATTTCGGCTTTTTTGCCAGTCTTACCTCCCAACTATCATGGAACATGTTGTTCGACGATGTACAGATGTCAAGGTCAAGGTCAAGGTCAACCTAGGTCATCTAAGTTAATTGCGTTTTAAGTAAGCGTTTAGGTACTTTTTACTAAGTTTTAGGTACTTTTTGTGAAGTTTTTTGACTGCATTTTTGGTAAAAGCTTCTCAGATCATGATTTCATGTAATATGGACACAAAAACAATCGGTGCACACATCAGTATACACACAGACACACACAGACATACAAACACATATGTATAATTGACCTTGACCTAACTTGACCTGACATGACCTCAGCAGCAAAAATCTGGTCGGGTAGTGTGACAAAGAGGTTCTAGCTGGCTTGGCACCAGAAAACAGCATCGTCATCGGTATATGGTAGGCAGCGCACTTGATATCCAACGGTGACCCAAAATAGCAACATTTTTTAGTTTGACCTGACCTGGAAGGTCAATGACTGACCTGAGAAGGTAAAACTGGGTATCATTGGATTCGTCTCTTCCCAAAGAATCTTTTTGGTCTTTACCGCTAAGCTCTATCTCCAACAGGAACGAAATGGCGCGGGGGGGGGGGGTGGCAACCACCCCCCCCCCCCATGTGCGTTCTAGGATGGGAAAATGGCATGTGCGGGCGAGGGTTAAGAAGGGGTCCTATCTTAACTTTAGGGGCCCCAGTGGTAACCTACTTTACCCGAGACCGGGTGCGGTTCCTAGCCAACTTTGCCAATTTTTCCTCTCGCATCCGGGCACATAGCTATTAGCTCGTGAACCGTACCTAAGTGTTACAGCGTCACGGAACAATGCATTTGATAGATCCTTGGAAGCTTCCACTGCGTTGTCCTTAGATTCGAGCTCAGTTCGACAATTTGGCCCACACTGAGAGCAAAAACTGCCAAAATAGACGGATCTTGCAGAAGCATTTGTTCCATTTCTTTACGTACTATACATATATCTACTCACTCCACGTATGGTAGGCACAGTTTTTAGCGTAATTGTGTCTCTCGTATCGAGAGGCGTTAAATTATCTATAGTATGACCTATAGTCAGTTGCATGCTCTAACCGAAAAAGGTCATGCTGTACATAAACTGATCTGTGTTGTTGGGCTGAAGGCATTACATAATACACTCTTTCATCACTCTACTATGTCTTCTTTTAAAGTTATTGTTGAATTTTGTTGTGCCTTTGGTGACCTTTCTTGTGACTTCTACACTCTACAGGCTCCTGCACAGACCGGTAGAGGCCACGCTGGTCACTGAGAGGTCACGCTGGTCATAGGTCGGTCTCTAAGAGCTTCATGTCGTCGACCTCTGAGGACCCTGCACAGGCTTTGGAGGCTCCACATCGGACCCTGAAGATCCTATCTCCGGTCTTAGATCCTTGAGGGCTCAAGATGGTCCTCGAGAGCCCCACGTCAGCCTCAAAGAGCAGATATCGATCTGCCTAGAGTCTTGCGCTGGTTGAGGGCTGATACCCTAAGCTTTAGGAGGGTCCAACTCGGGCTATGAATTCCTCTGATGGCTCCATGTCGCCCTCCAGGGCCTCGGTCCGACCTCTAAGGCCCAATCATGCATAAGTGCTGAATTCTGCCTGTCGAGGCCTTCAATGTGGCCACTGATGGCCCAGCACCAGTCTATGAAGACCCCGCGCTGGCTTCTGAGGACTCAGCAGTCAGCACCAATCTCAGTTTTCAGAAGACAGAGGGCCCCACGCTGGCCTCAGAGTGTCCAACGCTGTCCACAGAGGGCCCCCACACCGACCAAAGAAGGCACCAGGCCCATGGCCTAAGAGGGCCCAAATTGTCATCATAGGGCCCTATATGGCCTCAGAAGGCCCTACCCCGTTGGTCTTACAAGGCCTACGTGCGGGCTTTTTAACGCCACACGCCCCCCTCACATTTGGCCTTTTAGGGTCCCCAAAGCGGCCTCTGAGTGCCCCATGCTAGCCTCCGAGGGTTCGTCCTGGGCCTTCGAGCGCCTTACGCTGGCCTCTTAAGTCTTAACCCCTCGGTAGAAGTAGGTGTACGAATACTTATGTTTGGGCAGAAATTTTGTATCCTAGCCTGTTCATGTTACATGCGGTGTATACGGTATATGTATGTTACGTGGTGTCATTCTGGCTTCTGAGGTCTGGTTTGCCCCGGTAACCGGACAAAAGATCGTAAAGCAGAAGATCGTATGGCAGAAGATCGTAGGCAGTTGATCGTATGCAAAATATCGTAATGGATAAAGATCGTACGACATAATGCTCGTATGGACAAAAGATCGTATTCGCTAAAGATCGTCAAGGAAAATGATCGTATGCCAAAAAGTCGTAATGGATAAAGATCGTACGACATAATGATCGTATGGACAAAAGATCGTATTCGCTAAAGATCGTCAAGGAAAATGATCGTATGCCAAAAAGTCGTAATGGATAAAGATCGTACGACATAATGCTCGTATGGACAAAAGATCGTATTCGCTAAAGATCGTCAAGGAAAATGATCGTACGCCAAATCATCGTATGAGATAAAGATCGTACAGTCAAAATATGGTATTCACATGGTGCAGCCCAACTCCAGCGCATACAAAGCTTATCAATTTCTGTGTTCGCGTAGTAAGTGGCCGTCGTAAGCTCGACCATACATTGATGTTACAGGGTGGGGCATAAAGATTTACCTGTTTGTTTTCAGTCCATTACTCAAAAAGTTATGAACGAATTTTGATAAAATTTTGCATGCAGCTTCCCAACCGACTCATGTATCAACATTAAGATCGTTTTTGCATTTTGTAATATTTGTTGGTGAGCTATGGGGAAAATGACTAAGAGAGCCCAAATAGCGGCACTGAAGTAGGTTGGCCATAGCTCCTGAGGCGTTGCCAAACAGCTCGGTGTTGCCACAAGAACTGTTTGCAGTGTAATAAAATGACTTAAAAAGAAAGGGTTAGTGTCGACGAATTCCATGCCAGGCAGAACAAGGGATATCTGCCTCAAAAAGCTGGTTAATATCGTGCGCAAGAAGGTGTTTCAAGTTCTAGGCGAAGCATGCGCATTGCGCAAACTGCCAAGGGAACTCGGTGTTTCGCCAAGAACCGGCAGGAGAATCGTAAACGATGGCTTGAGCTTCATGTCATACAGGATGCAACATCGGCACCTAATTTCGGCGGCATCCAGGGAAAAGCGGCTACACAGGACCCAAAAGACATTGGAGGAGATCAGGAGCGCCGGTAACAAGACATTCTTCTGGTCCAATGACACCATTTTCATGCTTGAGCCCCAGAGACACTCCCAAAGCGTTATAATTTTGACAGATAGCCCATCCAGCATTGATCCTGCTATTCGAACCATTTTTCGTCGCCAGAAGCCTGCTGGTGTCTTGGTTTGGGCTGCCGTCGCATCCGACGGCTCAAAAGGAACCTTGGCCTTCATCAAGGAGGCTGTGAAAGTTAATTTACAGGTTTAAGTCCATCTGCTGGAGGAACATAATTTGTCTTGGGTCACTCAGTCGTTCCGAGACGGATACGTCTTCGTCCAGGACGGTGCGCCGCCGCAAACGGCCAACATCGCTCAATCGTGATGGAAGACCCACATGCCTGGGTTCTGGGACAAAGACATTCGGCCATCATCAAGTCCAGACCTGAACCCGATGGACTTTGCAATCTGGACCATCTTGGAGAGGAGGGTGTGTGCAGCGGAACACAGCAGAATCGCCGCCCTGAAGCTGGCCCTCGAGACGGCACCGTCGAGTCTTGGCGGGGACACCGTGCGGCGCTCGTGCCCCTCCGCAGAGGAACGTTTCGAGGCAGTGGTAACGGACAAAGGTGACCATATTGAGTCATAATGCCGTCGCTGAGATGTGTACATGTTACTGCATATATGTGCCAGAAATCAATTTGATATCTTTGTTCAGGACCGAAATATTTAAGAAAATCAGAAGGTAAATCTTTCTGCCCCACCCTGTACTTCAGAGCTTAGATGGCTCAATGACACCTAAAAGCAACGCGTTGTATATGTGCCGAATAAATGAATGTATGTGCTGCCGTTTTCATGTACCTATTTGAAGTGAATACAACTAAACCCATGTCCCCCCCCCCCCCACCCCCCACCGCCTGGAAGGTTAAAATGTTGCTTAAGCGGCTGAAGTAAACGGCGTTAAAAATACTTTTTCCTTCGCACTGTTACAATTTCATATTGAATCGTCATCGCTTTACGAGTCATTAACATCGCTTTACGAGTCATCAACAGATGTTTATCGCGTTATCACTATCGAAGTCGCAATTCTCTTAGTTATAGGATCCTGGTTTCAATCCAATCCTAGTTATAGGAGTCATTGTTATCGAAGGCCGGTTAAAGATGTCAATTGTCCATCATTGGTTCGAAATCGCCCCAGTAATTACCGAGTTACTGAAATGGGAACAAATTTGGCACCTCTTCTTTTTGTATTTTGCACGTGTATTGGGGGGCACTCACATAGATCAAGAGTATCCGACCTTTGGTAGAAGGGATGCTGCTACCCTATAAAAATTACCGCAAGACAATCGCTCAAGCCGCTGCTGAGATATGGGCCTCTCAAAATCATTACTTTTGCAAAACTGCTTGAACACCCTTGACTTCTCACGTGGCACGTGCCACGACGGCCACTGAGATGTATCAAAAGTAGTCAATTACGGGGAAGAAGGGATGTGGGGCTACCCAGCAAAAGAGACCGCAGGCCAATCGGTTCAGCGGTTGCTGAGATATAAGCCTCTCAAAAGCGTTACAGGCCGGGGCGGGCCGCTCATACTGAGATTTTCCCGTTATATTCAAAAGACTTCGCTTCGCTCGCTGCGCTCGCTCGCTCGTAACAACACTATTCTATACGATTATTTACTTTACGAACGTAACGTTACGATCTTTTGTCGAACGATCTTTTACAACATACTATCTTTATCTTACGATCATTTTCCTACGATCTTTTTTGTACGATCCATTGCTTTACGATCTTTTGCTTACGATCCTTGGTCGTACGATCTTTTGCGACATACGATATTTATCTTACGATCATTTTCCTACGATCTTTTTCATACGATCAATTGCTTTACGATCTTTTGCTTACGATCTTTTTGTCGTACGATCTTTTACAACATACGATCTTTATCTTACGATCATTTTCGTACGATCTTTTGCCTACGATCAATTGCTTTACGATCTTTTGCTTACGATCTTTTTACCGTACGATCTTTTACAACATGCGATCTTTATCTTACGATCATTTTCGTACGATTTTTTTCCATACGATCTTTTGTCTTACGATCTTTTGTCACGTAATCTTTGCCCCTTAGTCGAAATTCATTAGCCAAGACCCTGAGATACAGTGCCGCCCTCTGAAGTCTGAAATGAAAGTAGCTCCCTCTGAACTCGTAGCGACGTCCCTGAAGCCAGTTTACCCCCTTCTTAACCCTCGCGGGCCGAGGGAGGAGGGGAGGGGCACCCCTTACGATTTTTTCGTGACTGCTCCGGAGCCGTTTTCGATAGAGAGCTGAAACTTGGCCTACGTGAGCCCCCATCCAAACCAGACCTTATGACACCTGATTCATTTCCAGGTTAGTTCAGGTCCATAGGTGGATAATTGTGCCGAACGGTGGGTGCTCGGGCGCAGCAAATCCGCCGCCGCCCTAGCGGTGACCTTGACCTCCACAGTCTGTTGCGGCTCCAAAGCCAAGCCGGCGTGGAATTGGGAGAGCTCGTGCACCCACAGTTCAGTTCAATTCTCCAACTATGGTCAGGTCACTGACCGATGCATAAACCTCTAAAGGTTATAAGTAAACCTCTGCACTCTGCAGTCTGCACTGTCAAAAAATGTTGCAACTTCGCAACGCCGCCAACGCCAGGCAAAGTGTCGGCGATGATGATGACACTTTCAGAAAGTAACAAGCTCCCGGGTACTCATACTTCGCATATCTTGGATTGTTCGTACAATTCATCTTGGGTCAGGTCAGTCACCTGACCTCCCCCATTATAAACCTATGCGAGAACTACTGAACTTGCTCTTTTTGGAACATATAGTTGTTATATAATCCGCCCGAAGACGCAAATAAATGTGTTTTCATACGCTCGTCAAAGGATTCCGTGCCTTATTTTGGCATTTTGTACCTACTTGTATGACGCCACAGAGAACGTCACAGAGGACGTTCTTTTGGGTCATAATCGTTTTTCGTTAATAACTTTCGACCAAATTAAGCTAGAGTCGGGAAAGGCACCATTGTGATTGTAATGAGCTTCCAAATCGATTGATATGCAACCTGACCTAGTCCGAACAGTGTCCTGAGGGGGCTTGACCTGACGACCTTTGTGCCAATCTTGATTTTGACCTTTACCGAACAAAAAGTACCCACAACATTCGACGCAGCTTGAGCGGAATACGATTATGCCTAAATTTTTGCTCTATGGCCATTTGTTTGCAAAATTATTTGCCAAAAACAAAAACCCGACTTTAGGGTAATTTACCTGACCAGAGGTCACCAGTTGACCTGAGACCCTAAATTTGAATATCAATCGCTGCGTCTCGTGACGGCCGTCAAGCTCGTTTTTTTTTCCACTGGACTGGAACAGACCCTATAAATGCCGCCCCCTTAGGCGGAAAATGTGCCGCCCCTGTGCTTGACTGCCCCCACCCTATCGAAATCCTAGATCCGCCCCTGCTCGGAAGGGCACATATTGGTATCTAAGCTAAGGGACCCCACATCGGTCTATACAGCTCCTCGCCAGCTTTTGAACGCCGTCATCGAATACCGTCATCGAATGGCCCCGCTGGCTGCTGAGGCAGTGGCGGCGGAACATCTTCTGCCAACTTTTGGGAGGGGCAGTGGGAGGGGCACTGCCAACTTTTGGTCCCATTCTTTCCTTGCACCGCCCATAGGGCTAATGTTAAAATGCCAAAATCAAAGGGGGGCACGGTGTCCCGGTGCCCTCTCGTTCCGCCGCCTATGCGCTGAGGGTCCCAAGCAGTTCACGGAGGATAGGGGTTCCATGTCGACCTTTGAGGCCATGCCCCCTTCATCATCCTTGCAGAATGCAGATTCCTGAGGGCCAATGACAATCTTCTAGAGGATTATGCAATGCAGATCTCTGAGGGCCCATACTGTCATTCGAGAGTGCTTCACCGACCCTTCCGAGGCCCCCACCGGCCTCTGACTTCCCTCGCCGATCTCAAAGTTTGCAAGTTAGAAGTTTACAACTTTACAAGTTGACAAAAGCTTACCGCTTAGGCCGGAATAAATGAGGAGAGCCTCCATCGTGGATTTATATTTCAAAGCCCCAAGCCATGAGGGCATGGAGTCCTATGACATCTGAGGTCCCCACACTGGCCCTCTTTTAGGAAACTGCACCGAGTTGTGAGCCCGAGCCAAAGCCAGTCTCTTGAAGAGTCATGCAGGCAGCTAAGGCAAGATTTATAGGTACCTACTTTACTACTCTACTCAGCTATAGGTAATGGATAGGGACGTATGTACTTACATACAAGGGTCGTCTCATGTCGGCTCTATGTGTCAGCACGAGCCGGTGCCGGCCTGTGGAGGGCGCCCTGACCGGCCGGTGGAGGGCGCCCTCGACGCCCAGTTGTCCACCCTCCGGCGTAGACCACGCCGGCTCCTCTGCGGCGCGGCGTCCAACCCCAGGTGGGCCCCAGTCGACGGGCCACGGTGAGGGAGGGAGGTGCGTGACTCCGGCTCTTTCCATGGTGAGCTCGGTAGGAGAATAGTGAGCACAGCCAGACGATCGGGACGGGAAGGCGGATGCACTGGAGAACAGGTGAGTGTTCAATGCGTGGCGTTAGTGAACGATGATTCCGATTTGTTTATGTGGTTGTTTACGATTTGTTTATTGTTTCTTTACTTACGAGCAATGAGCATGCATGTTCTGCTAGAGCACAAACCCTGTGCCATTGGTATGCGAAGTTCATCTGATTCATGTAATGGAACCAGTTGAAATGTTTTAATCTTAACCTGATTTACAAACTGCTATAGTATAGTAGGTATAACCGTCTAAATATTTCTGAACCGTAGGTATTTAGCCATGCTGCACAGATAACAGAAGTACTACTGTTATCTCATCTGTGCATGCTGATATAAACAACGGCCTTCCATTATATATTGAAAACTGAACGCCAAAATCTAGAGTTCTCAATTTATGATTTATCCAGGCATATAATTTTTTTTTTTTCAAGAAAATACGTTTCGCGAGTAAAAGTTATGCCTTCGTCCAGAATCCATGGGACGGTCACTCCTATCGCTCAAAGGTCTCAAAGATATGTTGACTTCTAATTTTGCCTGAATCCGTGATTGTCCATCAACCGATATGCATGTGATGTAACCACTTTAACCTTTCAAGAAAGCGCCTTTTGAAATTAAACTATGTAAGCAAACGTTAGCCGTAAGCTTCAGAATGTAGACGCTGCTGTAAAAGAGACGGGGGCAAGTTAGACTATTGGCAGTTCAAAGTCCTAGCCGCCACAGTCTGCTGCCAGTCTGGGCGGATAATGATATGGTATTCTCGGTGAAATCTCCGAACTCCTTCATATTCACGGCATTTATGCATACGGCTGGCGACAGGCTGGCGGGAGTCTGGCCAGGGGCTACAACCCATCTGAATAAGACGGTTCCGATGGAGGAGTGGTGATTGGATAGATTGGCAGGTGACAGTGGGAGAATAAAGTGACAGCGGGATGAACAGGTGACACTGGGGGGTGGGGATAAAGGTGACAGTGGTGGATGGGCAGGTGACGGGGAATGAACAGATGACAGTGGTGTATGAACAGGTGGCAGTGACAGAGAGATGAACAGGTGACACTGGGGATAAGGGTGACAGTGGTGGATGGGCACGTGTCGCTGGGGAATGAACAGATGACAGTGGCTTAAGGACAGGTGGCACTGTCAGAGAGATGAACAGGTGACACTGGGAATAAAGGTGACTGTGTTGGATGGACAGGTGACACTGGGAATAAAGGTGACTGTGGTGGATGAACAGGTGACAGTGAGAATAAAGGTGACCGTGGTGGATGGACAGGTGACAGTGAGAGATGAACAGGTGACAGCAGGCAAGGTGACAATTAGGGGAGGCGACAAGGGTGACAAAGTTGACAATTAGGGGAGGCGACAAGGGTGACAGCGGCAGATGAATGACAATGGCCGTTTTCACGACGGCCATCTGGTGCACATTCGGTGCACATCTGGTGCAGATTAGGTGCAGATTTGGTCAAATTAGGTTCAGTGTGTCTCTTAATAGCTATCAGCTAGGTCTGCACTAATTTCTTATATGCCTGCTTTGTCATATTATCAGAGAGCATCATCGATTAAAACACTGAAATAAATTAATAAGATAAAGATATTTGCTGTTAAAGAGATTAGGTGCAGATTTGGTCAAATCAGGGGCACTCGCCGGATAGCCCGTCGTGAAAACGGCCAATAACAGTTGGTTGATTTATATTGACGACACAGAAAAACAGTGCTAATTCGTAAGGCGACAGCCATAGAGGGAATGACAGCGTGGGGGGGGGATGCAGACAGCCATCATTTTTTTATGTATTGATGGGCAGTAAAAAAAAAAACAGTATAAAACGTTAATAATTGGCATGCAATACTGTTTATTTATTCTGAAAAAAAATCATTTTTTAAGTAAACTAAGCGATCAATGTGAAACAGAAATAGATTCTGGTGCATGACAGCTACTTATAGACGTTATTTTCTAGTTGTAGTTGTATTTACCATTAAGTTACAATTAAACATAATCCAAAGTCACAATTTATGCACGCAATAGGGACCTGGGGCCGGGGCGGTCCCTATTAGTAAATGTATGATGAAATAATACACTTTTTGTTGCTGCTTTAATTATATGTAATACCAATCTTTAGCTTTATTTAATCAATAACTTGGTGAAACGTCATATACAGCATTTCAGAAATCCGCCTTAAAAACGAATATCGTGGGCATTTTCCTTTGAACTCTTTGTCTACGGCGCTGTGAAATCGCGGCTCCAGAAATAACACCTCGATCACGAACTCTGCATCCTGACGTATACAGACCCTGGCTAACAATTTAACCGCCCACCGCACATTGCTGCGAAGTCACGTCAGCGACTCGTGAAGTCGTGAGCGGTGAGCTTGTTTACAGCGACCTTGGTATGGCTGCTTGGTAGGAACATCAGTCTGGGGCGGGGAGAACGGTCATTAATACGGACAACTAAAGCCATCAGTTATCTGAACTAGCCTGGTGAATACCCAAGTGGGACTTTACTCCAATGTTCTATTTTCTACGTTTTGCGATGCTTCGATATCAGGAAATATTATTCTGAAGAAGCTGTTCCGCTGTTTTAATGTTTTTTTTTTTTTAATGAATATCTTTCTAGGTCGGTCAACCATTTCTGCATGGTGTACTCCCAGGCCCCAGCACAACATAACTCGCTGCCATCTGCAGTTGCACGGATATTATTTTCCACTCCACTTGGTATTATATGGTGGACGTATGGCCCTCCAGGCATTTAGTGGTTGGTTGCCGACATCACAATAATCGATCTACATTGATGAATACGTCTAATGGCTGTTGAAAACCATTGCCGAAATGCGTGCACGAACCCTCTTCTAATTTCTATTGAATCATTTTACAGGAGTGTCTCTGTCATTTAAAGTTATTACACCAAAAGCACATAGGCTATCCAACCACTCTTTTGCGGAGGGCCATACACTGGAGATGGGGAGGGGGTGAGAAATCCTGGCGGGGGGGGGGGGGGCGGGGCGGCAGTGGAGGCGCGGGTCACGGACTGGTCAGAGTACTGTCCTTGGCCGCCCGCCGCAGCCGCCACCGCCCATCATTTGTCAAACATCAGCACCTTCAAAGTCATCGGTCAGCACCAGCTCACTGATTATTCGATTATCTTGTGAAATCAACGCATAGGTATAGATTATATACTCTTATTTTGTCATCATTGCTGTGTTCCTATCTGTTGGTATGGAAATGAAGGATTACAATCATGTCTTACTCTTGTCTAACAATTTTTTGTTTCTATCTGCTGGTATGGAAGTGAAGGATTACAATCACGTCTTGTTTAACAATTGCATTTGTGATCGCTAGCACAATATTAATATGACGTGTATCTTTTTACAACCACTTCTGGAATGCATTGGACGAAATTTGACTTTGTCATTTTGATGTTGAGACTACATGCATGCATCTGTGCGATTTATCATGCCGGCAAGACTCAAGTATCGCTGGCTCTGTGTTCCACTTGTTTGCTCGGTTGAATTATGTATCGAAAGGTCGGTCTAAATCATATCCCCACTTTCGATGCGCCTGCAAATTTCTATCTTGTATTCATCGCACCTATCTTGTTGCATCGACAGCCTTCATAACAAGCGTAATTATGCGTAATAAATTATGTAACGATGCTGTTGGAAGGTTATTTCGAGGCATGTCTATCAATGAAAGATTACTACATATGAGGTCAAAAAAACTCGAATATGTTGCATTCAAACATATGAACTTTAGTAACACGTTAAAAGCAACATTTGCAGCAACCAGAATAGCCGAAATAGCCGAAATGTGTTGCAATTATTTTATCTTCCCATCGTCTAGAATCGTAGGTGAATCTTTTATGATTCACCCTCACAGTTTGCTGGTAAATATGAACGATTCGTCTATGCTGGAAATTAAATATTTAGGCGATTTCGTTATAACCAATCGAATCACGTGAATGAGTTTGTTATGACCCGAAGTCAAAGCGATGAAAGATAGTCAACAACTTGGACCGCCTGATGAGCCTGAGAACGGACGCGCGAAGTTTCACACAGTGAAGCCTAGCAGATTACACGCTCACTCACACATCTAATTTAATGCCAACCACTCAGTGTGAATAATAGGCTTGTCCTCAAATCTGTCACCATAGGTAATCGATCCATCATCCACGTTCCTTGGGTCCATGCACTTTCGACGACACCTCGTCTGCATATGAGTTCCAGCACGGGAAACCTGAGATAAACGTATTCAGCTCCACGCCCGGTCCCAGCGGATTCCCGTGACCGAAGAATCTATGCGTTGTGACATCCCCTTTCTCGTGAGGAGACTGAGATGAGGCATGACGTGCGGGGGAGGAGGCGGGACGCGCGGGGGAGGAGGCGGCTCGCCCAGACCGCGGGCGTCCCTGCTCTGATGGCGGCGCGTGATGTGATGAAATGGGTCGCTCTCGTTTGACGTAAAGGTCAGCTAGAGAGACCGTGATGTGGTCATGTGCTGCTAATCGAGCTGTTGTTAAAATGCATCATAACACACCGGTTCATGCAGCTGAAACTTATTTTGTTGGTGAGAAATGTAAATGTTTTTTTTATCAGCGATGGTTCATTAGTCACTGTCGTTTGGCTAATTAAAGCGAAAACGCTGGGCCGAATATAAAATCAGGATATGACCTGCCCCTAATGAGGTGAGCGTGATGCTTTGTCGTCCGAAGAAAACCAAACTGGCAGCATTTTACCAGCCGTTAGCAAGAGCTGAGGTCTCATTGCCTTTGTGTATGAAACGGTTGAACAGGTAACTTAAGGACAACCCCATGCTATTGGATACCTACAGTTCATTCCACAACGTATCCTGTATTTTTGACATAGACCAGGATGTCGTTTATTCATCCATCTGGCTCATCAGCCGCATACATATTTAGCGTTGGCGTTTTCGGCGCCATAGCCAGTTAGGCGTCCTTGTTATGTAGTTACGTGCCAACGGCCTTCGACGCCCGCGCATGACCTTATCTGTTCACATCACGTCCGAATC